GAACAGGTCAAATCAGTTCCAAAATTTTGCCAAGGAACCTCATAGGCATGCACACACACACACACACACACACACACACAGAGAGAGAGAGAGAGAGAGAGAGACAGAGAGAAAGAGAGTGAGAAAGAAAGAGTGAGTGAGTGAGAAAGAGAAACAGAGAGAGAGAAAGAGAGAGAGAGACAGAGAGAAAGAGACAGAGAGAAAGAGAGAGAGAGAGAAAGAGGGAGGGAGAGGGAGGGAGGGAGAGAGAGAGAGAGAAAGAAAGAGACAGAGAGAAAGAGAGAAAGAGAGAGAGTGAGAAAGAAAGAGTGAGTGAGAAAGAGAGAGAGAGAGAGAAAGAGGGAGGGAGAGGGAGAGGGAGGGAGGGAGAGAGAGAGAGAGAGAGAGAGAAAGAAAGAGACAGAGAGAAAGAGAGAAAGAGAAAGAGTGAGTGAGAGAGAAAGAGAGAGAGACAGAGAGAGAGAGATATGACTTTACTGCCCATTTAGCTAAAGGCTAGACATATTTTTCAGCTGTCCCCACCCGATGCTAAGCTCTGGTTACAAATGCACACAGTTGCTGTTTTCATACCATTGTGTAAAAACCATTTTACAGCTTAACAAGCATCATCTGGTTGACACATCTGGCAAAGACAAGCACAACATATGGAATCAAAAATTAGCCCACTTTTTTTTTTTACATCCTGCTCTAGGGTGATGTTGAATTACGATCAAAACTTTGGGATTTGATTGTCGATCAGGAATTACGGTTGCATCGTGCATGCAGGATGACGAAAAACAACAACAATTGAGAAATTGCAAAAGGATTATTCATTCCAGGTGTTAAGCAATGATTTTTAGAAATGTATAACTTATCTGTCTTACAGTCATAGTCATTAATCGAAAAATGAAGTATTATTTTCTTCTTTGGCAGAGAGGTTATATTGTACAATAATATTTTATATCTGATCATACTATAGCATGACTTGGCATTTATTAGTAAATCAGTGACAACCTGCAATTTTAATATATAGGGAACTTTGTTATTGTTGTTGTTTTTAGTTTGTCCATTCTTACCTTCTCTTCTTTTTTTCTTGTTTATATCATTAGTTTCTAAAGTTCAAGGTTAGAACAGCATCGAATAATAGAGTTGGAAAGGGACCTTGGAGGTCTTCTAGTCCAACCCTCTTTCAAGCAGGAATTTCTTTAGTTTAACTTCTTTTTTTAGTTTGTCATTCCCCCTCCCCCATTTTTTTCTAACATAAAGACGAAAAGAAGTGATTTGCTTCATAAAACATACATGTGCACACAAAAATCTTAAAGGGATATATATTTTCATCGGGGCAGGTTCTGCCCTTAAAGGAAGCATCGATCATAAATTAGTAGCAAGGATATTCCCCCCCCCCCCCAGAAAATATATTTTAAGTCAAGGTGGCCTCTTTCCTGTGCTTTTCTTGACAACGATACCAAAGAACACCGCAGCTCGCTGGTGCTGTCTTCTCGACTGACTCTTCGGTTTTTCGTTTTGTTGAATGCTCTGGACTTTCTTTATGGCCTTCCTTCCGAGGGCTTACTTACCCGGTTGTATCCTACTTAGCATCCCCAGGATCAGCCAAGGCTGGTTAGCTGCTGCCATCTACTGTGATACTCTTGTTAGTTATTTTCTCCTTCTGATGTTTACTTCCGGCCATGGAGAGAAACGTCTTTTGGATTTTGGTCGTGGTTTGTCTCACTTGCCAAAATAATGTAGCTGATCTTGGCGGCCACCGGGGACCACTTTGATTTTGAAAGGCAGGTGGGAATGTGAGCTGCTCCTGTTCTTGAAAACATACACACACGTACACACACACACTAGAATAGAATGGAATAGAATAGAATAGAATAGAATAGAATAGAATAGAATAGAATAGAATAGAATAGAATAGAATAGAATGGAATGGAATGGAATGGAATGGAATGGAATGGAGTGGAGTGGAGTGGAGTGGAGTGGAGTGGAATAGAATATTGGAATGAAGAATAGAATAAGGAATAGAATAGAATAGAATAGAATAGAATAGAATAGAATAGAATAGAATTCTTTTTATTGGCCAAGTGTGATTGGACACAGAAGGAATTTGTCTTGGTGCAAATGCTCTCAGTGGACGTAAAAGAAAAGAGACATTCGTCAAGACTCAAGAATCATCAGGTACAACACTTAATGATAGTCATAGGGTACAATAAGAATAGAAATAGAATAAAAATAGAAATAAAAATAGAATAGAACAGAATAGAATAGAATAGAATAGAATAGAATTCTTTATTGGTCAAGTGTGATTGGACACAGAAGGAATTTGTCTTTGGTGCAAATGCTCTCAGTGGACATAAAAGAAAAGATACATTCATTAAGAATCAAGATCATAACGTACAACACTTAGTGAAAGTTATAGGGTACAATAAGCAATCAAATCCTACTAGGAAACAGGCAATATAAATCATAAGGATACTAGCGACAAGTTACAGTCATACAGTCACATGTGGGAGGGGAGGGTTGATAAGGAGTGATGAGAAGATTAATAGTAATAGTAGTGTAAATAGTTGAACAGTGTGGAGGAAATTATTTGTTTAGCAGAGTGATGGCGTTCGGGAGAAAACTGTCCTTGTGGTCTAGTTGTTCTGGTGTGCTGGGCTCTATAGCATCGTTTTGAGGGTAGGAGTTGAAACAGTTTGTGTCCGGGATGTGAAGATATATATTCACAGATGAACACAATACACAAGCCTGATGATAGCAGATGAGATTCTGCTGAAACGTCGCTACAACTTTAAAAGCACAACTATAATAACTTGGGAAAATACCCGAACAGAGCTGAATATATATTCAAATTTAATCTGACTCTTGTTTAGAGGGCAGGATTTGGGTGATGTTATTTTTCCTAGGGCCACGACTCTGCTGAGAATCGTAAAGCTCCCGTCACCCGGTGGCCTTTGTGAGTTGTGAGTTAATGTCGAAAGGGATGTTAATCCCGTCTTTTGCACAGTGCAGCACCTCCACCTCCACTGACGTTTGGAGAGCTCTTTGAAGGAACAGTTCTACCTTGTGGACAAAACAAGTCACTTGAACAAAGGGATTGACTCCCTGGCAACGGGGCAGATTTGGCTGCGATGTCCATGTAAATAAGTCATCTACGTTTCCAATACCTCCACACTCTGCCAGATCTACTTCTTCTCCAAGAGCAGGAGATCTCTTGGAGAAGAGCCCTGCCAGTTCTGATAGTTGGCAGCGTGGAAAGCCAGCCATTCTTGTCAATAGATCCCTGGGATCCAACAGGCCATTTGCACCTAGAATAGGATAGGATAGGATAGGATAGGATAGGATAGGATAGGATAAGAGAAGAGAAGAGAAGAGAAGAGAAGAGAAGAGAAGAGAAGAGAAGAGAAGAGAAGAGAGAATATAATAGAATGGAATGGAATGGAGTGGAATAGAATAGAATAAAATAGAATAGAATAGAATAGAATTTAGAATAGAATAGAATAGAGAATGAGAAAGAATAGAATAGAATAGAATAGAGAATAAGGAATAAGAATAGAGTAGAACTGGAACTGGAACTGGAACAGAACAGAACAGAACAGAACAGAATAGAATAGAATTCTTTATTGGCCAAGTGTGATTGGACACACAAGGAATTTGTCTTGGTGCAAATGCTCTCAGTGGACATAAAAAAAGATACATTCATCAAGAGTCAAGAATCATAACATACAACACTTAATGATAGTGATAGGGTACGATAAGAATAGAGTAGAGTAGAGTAGAGTAGAATAGAATAGAATAGAATAGAATAGAATAGAATAGAATAGAATAGAATAGAATTCTTTATTGGCCAAATGTGATTGGACACACAAGGAATTTGTCTTTGATGCATAGGCTCTCAGTATACATAACAAAAAATAAATACATTCATCGAGAACCATTAGATACAACACTTAATGATAGTCATAGGTTATGATAAGCAATCAAATCATACATAGGTTATTAATATGCAATCAAAACATACCAGGAAAACAAATAAAACAATATAAATGGTAAAGATACAAGTAACATGGTTATAGTCACAAGTGGGAAGAGAGAAGTAATAGGATAAAAACAATACAAGAAGAAGAATAGTAATACAGTGTTACTAAGTAGTTTGACAGTGTTGTGGGAGTTAGTTGTTTAACAGAGTGCCAGTATATCTACTCTAATAAAAGGAAACTTTGAGAAAATGCCTGTCTCGGAATTTTTACTTGGAGTTGGGTTTTTCTGGAACGCTGACACCAAGAAGATAACGAGTCAACATTTCCATGTTGTTGGCAGGGACCTTTCCAAGTCTGCCTTCCCCTTTTAGAGTCTATTTTTTCCCCCAGGACTTTTTGCTTGGAGGCTACTTCTGTGAGGCACATGGTGGCTCTCACATGCCTTCGGTCCCATGCATTTATCACGACAAGGAGGTATTCTGGAAAATGTCTGCATCTCTAGGGCTTACTGGTTAATCCTCTTTGTTGAGGTAATTCCCTGTTAGGAGAATGAGCGCATACAGGAAGACATATTTGAGAGAAGTGTTTGAATAATATACACAGATACACTGTACAGTAAACGTAGGTTTTTACTTCCAGAAAGGTTTAAGCAAAGTCCAAACACAGTCCAAAGTCATTCACAAGTAAATCAGTCAGTTTTCAATCCAGGGATAATCCAAAAATGAAATTCCAGTGTCAAAAACAGTTCAGTATCAGACTTACATTAAATCCAGTAATATCAGTCAACTAGGAAAAACGGAGGAACGGCAATATTTTCCAACAGAAGGAAACAGAGAGGGAGACACACTCTCTTCTGAGATTAAGACTAAAACAACCCAGGTTTCTGGCTCCATCTTGTGGCCATTTGAGAAACCACACCCAACTACAGTTTTGCATTTTCTTAAAGATACAGTTTTAAAATGTTTATCCTGGTTTATATATTTCTAACCCAAAATAGCTGTTAGGTGACTTATATTCCTAACGCTCTTCTTCTAGATCTTCCATATGACCTATGACCTGGCCAGTGCCGTGGTACGGATCGTCAACTTGATTGGCATGATGCTGCTGCTGTGCCATTGGGATGGCTGCCTCCAGTTCCTCGTGCCCATGCTCCAAGAATTTCCAGGGGATTGTTGGGTTTCGCTGAATCGTATGGTGGTAAGTTGATGAAATAGATGGACCAGTTTGGCACGGATGAACCACCATCTAGTATAGTGAGTATACTAGTATAGTATAGTGAGTATACACCGTCTAGTATAGTCTAGCTGAGGTGTTCCCTGATTTCTGTCTAAGGAAGTGAGGGTGTTCTCTGTTCCATCAGCCACCTCCTTATCCCTTGACGAGTGCAAAAAAAGAAGAACCCAGGACATTCCTCCCATTGGAATTTCATGCATACGCCCAGCAAGAAAAGTCGATCTAAATATATAACCTCTTTAAAAAGGGAACAGGGGAATCTAAACTAGGACATGATCACAGCCTAAAACTACAATTGTTTAGTGGTGGAAAATGACTTCCTGAATGGCAGGATTTGGGGATGTTATGAGAGAAACAAGAAAAAATGTTTTAAGGAATTATTATTGTGATTATTATTATTATTATTATTATTATTATTATTATTATTATTATTAT